CACACACACACACACACACACACAGACTTTCTCTCACACACACACACTCTCTCTCACACTCTCTCTCTCTCACACACACACATACAAAAGCTTGAACACATGCACCATCAGGTTCACGAACAGCTTCTTCCCCACTGTTATTAGTTTGCTGAGTTGGACCTCTCAGATCTCAGATCTAGCGCTGATCCTGCTTTGGTGCCCCTCCAGTGCAGCGGTAACTTCGTATTCCTCGCTCTTTACTCAGAGAGTAGTAAGGGCGTGGAATGCCCTGCCTGCAAAAATAGTAGACTCGCCCACTTTAAGGGCATTTAAATGGTCATTGGATAAACATATGGATGATAATGGAATAGTTTAGGTTAGATGGGCTTCAGATTGGTTTCACAGGTCGGCGCAACATCGAGGGCCGAAGGGCCTGTACTGCGCTGTAATGTTCTATGTTCTATCACCCTGCGTTTTGTACGTCCTTACATCACAAGATCTGCTGGCTTTGCTCATGGAACAAAACTTCTCACTCTACTCAGGCGCAGGTGGCAACGATAAATCAAAGCAAATTCACTGCACTTCAAGGGATCAATGGTCAGATTCTCTTCGTGTCGAAGGCCATCGCTCGGGCAATGGAGAGGCGTGACTGTTTACATAGAAATTCCAGCAACGCCGGGAGGGTTTGGGAAGGACCGGTGGGAGCCGGCGTTAGTGATGACTGACAGGGTGGTGGTGTGGGGTGGGGTGGGGGTCGTTCCTCGCTGCGTCATCAGCTGCGAACCCTCAGGGCGACGGTAGGCCCAGATTCAGAGGTGTCGGCGCTGCCTCCAGGTCAAGGGGTTGCCGTTGAGCGTGACTGTTTACATTGGCATTCCTGTCATCGCTGGGGCAGTGAGAGTGACCGGAGGAGGGGCGTGGGGGGATAAGTTTGTGTTTCCCTCTCTCTCCATCCACCCCTACAACCCCTCCCGTCCACTTATCCACTAACCCCCTCCCCCCACCTTTCTCCCTCAGAATCCATTGGCCATCCAAGATGGCCGCCACCCGCGGACTACAACTCCCGGCGGGCAGCGCACCGGAGGTTGCCATGTCTCCGAGCGGCGGGTGAGAAAGACGCCGCCCATTGGACAGCGCCGGGGTTATGGGGCGGGCCGCAGCCCTGCTATTGGTTGTTGCGGCTGCCGCGTGACGGTTTGTCTCCCCCTCCCCCATCCGGGCTGGTGGGTGTGTGCAGACTGTCTCTGATTGGTGCGGGGACGGTGACGAGAGAACGGCGCCCCCACGTGAGGTTCAACGCGGCATAACGGGGCGGGCCGGAAGTACCGCCCATTGGCCGGTCCGCCCCGCGGGTCCGTTGGTACAGGGGCGCGGCGATTGGTCGGAAGCCGGAATGACGGGAAGGCGGCTGCCTGGGTTGGGCGGTTTCCGCTGGTGGGCGGACGAACGACGCCGCCGATTGGCCGGTCCGCTGTGGGTCGGATGGAACGGGGGCGCGGTGATTGGTCAGAAGCCGTGATGACGGTATGGCGGATGTTCCACCTTGGTGTTTACGGATGGCTTTTTGGTGGGGGGGGGGGGGGGGGGGGGGGCGGGATCAAGGCCCCGCCGATTGGCCGTTCGGCTCCCGGGTCAGGGCGGCGATTGGACGGAAGCCGGGATGACGGCGGTGCGTCGGCCCACGTTGGGCGGTGACGTGAGGCGGGACGGTGGGCAGCGCCGCCGATTGGGCGGCCCGCCCTGGATCACGTGGGCCCGGGGCGCCATGATTGGTCGGAACGGCCGGTTTAAACGATGGAAAGGGCGCGCGCGGCTCTTCAGTCGGTTGGAGCCGCCGGAGGGTCCGGAGCTCCGGGGGGAGAATAGCATCAAAGTCACCCACCGCCATCAATAATACTAATAGTAATAGTAATAATAATCAGCTTGTCCTGGAGCTGTGTCTGCACTCACACACTCACACAGAGAGAGAGTGGGGCGGGGGGGTGGTGCTGAGTGTGGTTTTGAGAATCAATCACTGATTGAAGTTGTGTTTGGGATTAAATACGCCTTTTTATTTCTCTCTGTGTGTGTGTCCCTGAGATGCTGGGCACCGCTGCCCACATCCTGGGGCGCACCGCCAACCTCCGGGACACCGAGGAGCTGAGAGAGCAGCTGCAGGTGAGATTTTTGTGTGTGTGTGGGGGTGACCCCTGACCCTCGACCCCTGCACCCCACCCTTGACCCCTTCATATTGTCCTGACTCTTGACCCCTGATGTGAGTCTGACCCTGATCCCTACACCCCACCCTTGACCCCCTCATACTGTCCTGACCTTTGACCCTTGACCCCTGACGTGAGTCTGACCCTGACCCCTGGCTGTCACCCTGAGGCTCCGTCACCCTTGGCCGTCACCCTGACCACCCCATCTCTCCCCCCCACCCCGTATCTTGACCCCTCAGTACAGTGAACCCCGACCTTACCCTGAACCCCCCCATATCCTGAGCCCTCTGTAGAGTGACCCCCGACCTTACCCTGACCCCGTATCCTGAGCCCTCAGTACAGTGACCCCCGACCTTACTCTGACCCCCCCGTATCCTGAGCCCTCCGTACAGTGACCCCC